TGGTGAGAGAAGCTGTCTTCAAAGGTCACCAATGCAACAGCCCAAATTACATCCTTGTAACGATCTTCTATATCTCCTCGGAAATCTGAAAGGTCTTTAAAACACTGAAAATGCGCTATTTAGTGTCCATCAGCAACAAAAATCGCGCCTCTTGATATACATCCATGATCCATAACCAAATTTAGATAACATGGTGATGAGGCCAACTTGTGAAACCACAAAAGCGGTAGTCGCTGTTTTCATACAATCTCCTATCGAATCATCCTTAGAATTTCCAATATTAGGTTGACTAATAAATGACTTCGGTTGCTTTTGCGGCTCTTACAATCCTGCAGACAAATTTGTCCAGTCTTTGGTATCCTCTGGAAAGAGCACTTCAATAGGAATTATACTATAAATTTTGTTCGAATAAAACTTATCTTCCAAAGAAAAACGCAGAGAATTGAAAAACCCAATTTTTTCATAGTGCGCAATTACGAGGGATTTTGGTTTTTTTTCTGTTGAAAGATTTTCATAGTGGCAGATCGCTATTTTCATTGTTGTTCACTAAATGGGGAAATCCTTTGTATCCAGATATCGAATTGCTGTCTTCCGCACCCATTACGGGATGAAAAGGATGAAAACGAAGCTTAGGAAGGCAGAGAATTGAGCTTTTGGAAATTTAGCCATGTTGAGGTATGACTGTCTTTACAGTGATAGAAAATTTTAAATATTCAATATGTGATAGGGGAAACTTTGACCTTTTCTTACAAAAATTCATGGATAGGAAAAAGAAAGAAAATTTTTTATGAAGATTTACATGCCAAAACGAACTTATTTTTTAGCCAACCTTATACTTGGTGTTACTCAAATGAAGCATTGCAATATTGCGATAGCCACATGCAGAAATATTCAATTAACAAACACACGAGTTAGTAAGTTAAATGCTCTCTTTTCTCTGGACTTGAAATTTCACCGTACAAACCTGGCACTGGCATAATATCATTTGACAACCACTAAAAACACAAGTTTTTTGCTTTAATCCGCAGACGAGTTCTGTTCACCATACAATAAATGGACCTTACAAGGGATGGATCCCAAGTCGTTCTTTCGAATTGGAAAGAACTGCATATAATCAGATGCACCTTAATATTTTTCCGAATATACCTCCTTTTTCTGTTTATACTTTAGAAAAAGAAGAGCTTGGAATGTAAATCGTCATATGTAAAGGTTATTATATTATTTCTGAAATCCATCTATGAAATGCATATAACGATGGATGTCTTAAGTGTACTGACACAAGGAAGGCGTACACTTACCGGAAACGTGAATACTTGTTCTCAAATAACTGACTCTTGCAGGTGTGGCAATAAACGTTTGCTATATTTGAAAATATGAACGCTCACCACTTTTTCTAAGGAACCGCTTAGCGATACGGAAGTAAATTTGGAACCAGCTCAAAATAAGCATATAAAATCTTGTTAGCTCATCTCCCAAATAATCCAAGTAAGCAAGAAACACCCTTACTCAGCATACTAAGTTCTTACTTAATTCCTTACTATTCAAGGTAGAACGATATGAAATGAATAATAATGGGCTAAGGGTTGTTTACGTTTGTCTGTCTATCTGTGTGTGTGTGTGAATCTCTGTCTGTCACGAAATTCGTAGAGCGTGTTCCAGCCAACGTCCTGAGCCCAAATTTTGCATAGCGCACGCTACCAGCGTGAAAGCTCACTATACAAAAGCTTGAGCGGATCCGTTTAGTGGATCCATTGAAAATTGCGCGTCAAACGGATCCACTTGGCTTTTGGCCAGCAAATTTGGGTCCGTAGTACTACTTCTTGCAGAGATAAGGATATACTTGACAAGTTAATGTGCAAGCCATGGACGTTAGCCTAAAAAAGTCTACGTTAGCCTAATGAAAAGTCTACTACTTTACAAATACAGCGCCAAGAAACATTCGCTGTGTAAATGGTCAATTTTTCAAGATTTTACCTGATCGTTTGAAGAGATTTTTGCACAGAGATGTAGCCCACTATGTTTGTTGTCCTTATGGCGACTACCAAGCCAAAAAAATTCCAAAAACCTTTTCGAATTTGCATCTGTTCTAACGGGAGAGATTTTATCCACGCGAAAATACCGATCTCACATGGAAAATCTCTACGAATGAGTAGTTGTTTATGAATTATTCGTGATAGCCTACATAGCGCGGTGAGTTTCAATGTCATTATTATGCGGGAATGAGTAAGGCATACAGAAAATAGGGCCAGTGCGAGCCTCTGCGAAGCAGAGGTGACGCACTGGTGTGAAATGATCATGATGCATAGAACCATTTGGGGGATGAGTTGATTTCGTTCCGGATAGCCGCTGCGACTTACTCAGACACTGGGAGCGGCCCAGTTCCGGCCGGGCAATCGCAGCTCCCGAGGGCCGGCCGTGAATGGACACTCGGCTCGGCCGTAAATGAGCCGCAGCTCGCCCGTAGTGGGCCGCGGCTCGGCCGGGAAAGGGCCGCGGCTCCGCTGTATTGGCTCTTATTGAATCGTTCTAGCACTTCCAAAAATGGAAATTTTAGCTGCTTCTTTTAGCACATGAAGACAACAGAACAATCACATACTCATGACAACTCATTTATCTTCAGTGTCCAGAATATACATAAAAAATAGCCACAATCATGAACAAAGAATCAAACAATCTACAAAAAAATGATGATATCCTTATTGCGCTGTTCTACTCCCATTGTTCTCAAAGGCGCAAATATGTTTCGTCATCTATCATCTCGATGTTGTCTTCGGCAGCCTCGACCAAAGCTTTTCTTTTCTGCCTCTGAAACATTTGGATAACGCTGAAGTAGGCAATATAATATATACGAACTCACATTACTTGTTCTTTCGATGTCCTCCTCGGGCACAGCCACAGTCTTCCTTTTCTGTTTCTGGAACATTTGGAAATCGCTGAAGTAGCCAAGTTTATGTATCCACTCACATTACTCGGGCTCCACGTATTGTCATTCTCCTTGTATTTCGATGCTCGGACATCACTTCTGGAAGTCAAAGTTACTGATAATCAAAATAACTTCGTTTCAACACGTACAGAGCTTTCTACAAGGCCTGATAAAGGTGTGGCCGCCATTGAGCTCGCTCTTGTATCATCTGCGAAAGCTCTTTCCTTCTCTCCTCTTCATTGTTTCCCAAGCTTTCGTAGAAGCTAAATTAGAAGACAGTACACATCTCTCTTAACTTTTGTAAAATTTGCAAGCACCTAGACGTTTCCAAATTGCCTTCAAAACCCGGCACCAACTCCTCGTGTCCGTAATCTAAAGCGTCCTGCGCAAAGTCTGGAATAAAACAATTGAAATCTGAATGAGAAACAATAGAGATTAATTTCGTGGTTACCTATGATCATCGAAAGCCCTCGGCTTTTTTGGTTGAGACCAAAATACTTATGGTATGATCTATGATTTTGTATACCTCAAAGTTCATAATTTACTCACATCATAAGCGCACCGATTGAAAGTGTGACATTTCTTTTTCTCCAGTATCAATTTAACTGCCTTATCCATGTGAGTTGTGCCCCGGCTGATACAGTCGTAAAGGGATGACACTGGTTCCGTTAACAACCTTCTTGGCTGTTCGGGAGAGTGCGAAGTTCTTGCGACTGTTCCTAAAATGTGCTTTAAGTGCTACCCTTGCTCGTACATTCTTCCTACCTGGCCTCACTCTAGCAGGAACGGTGCCGTTGCGAGGACGAAACATGAATGAATGAAGAATGAAGAATGTCCAAGCGAAAGAACCGAAGAGCACCAACGCTCTTGTTGAATGGAAACTACATTCATCAATGATCATTACGAGATCACGACTAACTTGTTAATTTGCATATCGCTGGTCAGGTAAGCAAAGCAAGAGCCGCGGGTTGGCCGCTGCACTGAACAAGAACCGCGGGTCAGCCGCGATCTGGCCACGCCTCCAAAATAAGGCCGCGGGCGGGCCGGAAAGGCCTTATAAGGCCGCGGCTTGCTCGCTTCCAGTGTCTGAGTAGGATCTATTCCAAATTAGAGGCATTGACTTTGCACTACTCTGTCTTAGAAGTGTATCATGAATTCATTCAACCTTACTGGTCACAATTCATTTTTGCTGAACATTTGACTATCTAGTGACTTGCTGCAAGAGTTTCAATCAACAGTTTTTTGAGCTAATTTCAACTGACTTTTTTTGAAGTTTTATTAGAAGACTAGCTGGCGGTCCCGGTTTCACTCGGGACTCCAGTTTTGCTAAGAAGAAGTTACTTATACTTACGATTTTGAGCTTCTTCTGCGAAAAAAGGGCTTTGAAACGAATTGCCCGCATCTTTCCGACACTGAGATTAAAATGAGCTTTACCATCCCCTGACTACATAATCACGGCAAAATAATTGGTTTGAGCATGTAAAGCCTCATTTTCCCAGATGTAAGTAAACAAATCAACAAATCAATAGAAGGATCCAGTAAATCGCCGCGAAAAGTAGCCTATGTTCTGCGCCGGGGTCCAAAACATATGTGTGCAAAGTCTCAGCTCATTTAGTCCACTCGGAAAGATTTGTATAAAAAACATACTTATTAACAGACAAACACACTTTGAGTTTTATATATATAGAGATGACAACTGCTCTACAAGTAACATTCTCGTAAGCTGCTAACCAATGTGCACGTAAAACCGCCACTAAAAAATTGGGTGTTGAATTTGAGTTCGCATGTTCAAAAATATTTTAGAAGAATGATAATTTTTTGATGAGTGAATAACTAATGGAGAGTTGAAACCAGTTAGAATAAAGAGTTCATAAATTTCAGCTTCCTTGTGCGTATTTGCAAAAAAATTGAAATTAAAACGCTGGAAAAACATGGTATGTCAAGATAGCTAGTTTTTTATTTCAGTATGAAGCATTTTCAGCATATCCAAAATGTGGGAGATTCTTGCCAGTTAATAGCATACTAAAATTTTCTGATCGAAATGGTCGATCGAAACCAAAAGAATTGTGATTCATGTCTACAGCAGTATAACCATTGTCATTATAACATTTGCCACTTGAAAGATAATAAGAGTGAGGATATCGATTCTGTCGAAAATCCGAGCCCACATCCGCTCCAGCCTGCTATCCGACGCGCTTTCACGCAAAAATGATGAGATGCACCAGAAATACGGCGAAAGGCGTGTAGACCTGAATTCATTTTGAAATTCTCCACTCATCCTTATATAAATTCAAGCCATGAACATACTTCTCGCCATCTTGCTGAGATCCGTCATTGTGCGTCACTTTCCGGTCGTACTCTCTCGTAAGAAAAGCGTTGGCAATGCATCTGGGTGGGGCCCAACTTCGAGTGACAGCTCTTTCGTGGATGATTAGGTAGATAGAAGTCACTAGGACAGCTATGCCACAGAGTATTGTTTGCGAGAGGACGTAGACACCTAGACAAATTTAATTGCGTAACACGTTTTAAAATATAAAGGAACGATGAAAATTGTAGCTTTGATGGTGAAGCCAAAGTTGCGTCTTAAATTTTTCAGGGTCAAAAAATATGAGTTATAAAAAGTTTAGACTAAATCCAACTGGTTCCTTCGAATTAAATACCCATTAATTTGACATCAAAACAGTTTCGAGTTGTTGTACCTTACCAAGCAACGGAAGGTCCTGCGACTTTGGCATTGTAATCGTGACAGATTGTAGGATCAAAGCCATAGCCAGAAGCGTGCATACTCCAAGGGACACCTAGAATCGTAGTTATCATCGTAATTCACCGAAAATTTTGTTTGCTGAAAGAGTAGAGCTATGCGACTTTTAGGGAAGCCATGTTTTCAAATCATATAATTTGGCACCTCAAAGTCAAGCTAAGGTCGAACTGGGATGGTTGGAAAAGAGGCATTCGAGGGATAAGTCTATATTTGGTATTTTTTATATCCAGAGCAGCACATGCTTGGTCGTCATCACTACATTTGCATGTAATAGGTCTGATTTTACTGTCAAACAGGCCAAGATTTTCAGCTTTGATGTTAAAGAAAACTTGGACACATGGCACTCGAATAAGAGATAGACCTTATCAGGAATTTACCCTTAGCAGTTCTTAGCTAGAACCAGATAAATAATACCTTTTCAATGCTCAACCCACTAATTTCACTTGGCAGGAAAAGCCCATTGAGGCAGAGAAATGTGCAGACGAAGGAAGGAATGATGATTGCTAGCACATAGAATTGAGGATGACGACGGAGATGGGCTGTTACAATCAGCTGAAAATTAGATATTATTTGATTTTTGATGAGTAAATTTTTTGCGATACCGTATCATAATCGCCTTCATCATATGTTGTGTCTATAGTGAGCTCAGCAGTCAATGAGAGCAGCTTCCACTCAGTGTTGCCCTGAAAAAAAGCAAAGATCTAGCCAGCTGCTAAAGGTTAGGTAAACCTACTGTAAAATCTTGATTTAGTTCGTATTCATCGTATGGAGTGTGCAGCCGCAAATTCGTGTTACTGAAACTCCAAGAGCTTATTAAAAATGTGCAGATTTGGTCGTCATAAGGAAATTTCTGCACATTGATTTCGCAAGGATGGGTCACGATCTGAAAAACAAGCGTTAGGACCAAAGAGTAGTTCAAGGACCAGTTCTCGCCACGCAAATTTTGGCCAATCTATTAACATACCTGTGGCCCAGCTTTCACTATGGAACCATCATTTTTCAACACAACAACTCTTCTATTATAATCGATCAAGTGCTGCTTTGATATTCTGAATTTTTGGGCTAGGTGGACTTTTTTATTGTTTTTTCTCACCGAGACCTACTTACGCAGAAAACAGCATGACATCGGGGGTCCATATGCTTTGCTCGGGTATTTTGAGTGTCGTTATATCGCCATCACTTGGTGTCCAGGTTAATAATGGGTCCGTCCATTCAACTGCCATGTCAACAGTGAAACGAATTGTTTGCATTTGTTCGTTCTGTAATGGCATCCAATTTCTTTCAAAAATTTTTAAGTTCATTTCTTTCGATCATTTCTAAAAAAATTTTCTAATGTAAATCTTATAGAGAGATTACTTACCACTGATAGCACTGAAAACAGCGATAGGTATACGGTAACGTTGGTGACATAACTGGCATCTTGTTTTGGTCGAATCGAGGGGTTATAATTTGCAAAAAGTTTTGAGTATAGCGCACTCCTTTCATCTGCATGTATCTGGATAAGGAGAGCTAAAAGCAGGTAACTCCAATGAAGTTTAGCGAAATTCAATAGTGAATAACTTACCGCTAATGTATACCAAATTTGGAAAATATAGAACCATACTCGACATCCGCGACAAAGGAATGCGCGTTGTCAAGAGTCCCGCATCATTTATTCAGGAAGGGAAGTTCGGGAGGTTTTAGTGAATGAGCTCGTTTTTGAAGAGGAGATGCACAAGTTTTTTGACTGTTCAAAAGGAAAAACAGGAGATTTTAGGCTCCTATTCATTAATCTCCTCCTCTTTTTTTCTATTTTCTCCAGCTACATCGAAAAACCATAAACAGCCAATTCTGACACTTCTTTCCAATTCTAAATTCCAAATTACTCAGTGGCAGGCGTTCTATTTTACTGCTCTTTCCCAGCAAAATTCGACTTGCACACTCACAGGTTCAAGTAACAAGTCCTTTGAGCATATAATTGTGTTTTTTCTATAATAACCTTTGCTTTACAAATGAATACGTCACTTTCTATTTTGTGAAGTAATAAATGCTGTGAAATTCACGGATACTTTTAAGAGATTTGACGAAATTTTTGGCAACATGCATTTACATGCCTTGAACTTTTGTATAACTTCTCACAAATGTAACAGTGATCAGAGTGTTTTAATTCCAACGAAGAAGCTCATTCACCAACCTAAATAACTCTTTTTGAAACATTTCGTGGGACATAAGCTACAGGATAGTTGACAAATCCGCGCATTAGAACACTCATAACTCCCTCCAGATGGTTGCTTAGCAGATAATAAACAAATATTCAGATCAGCATTTCAAGGCGAATCCGATGATATATAGCCTGAATGGAAAGGTTGGTTAAGTTCTGACCCTAGTAAGAATTGTTCTGCTTTGGTCCAAGTAATACAGACTCCTCAACTTCAAACTCATGATGTGATTCACTCACTATATGAGACCAACCCCTACCAAAATGAAGCGAGCTGTGATATAATATCAGGTTATCAAAATCTATATAAGGTCCATTTGCATAGGATGAACTTCATTCTTAGTTGGTGTGCTGCAGAGGTTAGACCTCTCTTGGAACTAGTGCTTGCAAGCTACAGAAGAGAAGACTGGCAGAAGTCGTCATTGCCCGATAACTCAAGAACCATGCTGGACTACCTGCTCTACTTGATTTTACCATGGGCGTGTATTGTATTTGTGGTGGTAACCTGTGGCGGTGGAGGAGACGAAGAAGAAGAGGAAGAGGTAATTAATTCACGTGAACGTTGGGAAATGCCTCATATGCGCTGCTTCAGGGTGCGCCGTCAGCACAAGGTGCAGCTCCAGGAGCCCCTGGCGCTCCTGGCGCACCTGGAGCACCTGGAGCTCCAGGAGCCCCTGGAGCCCCTGCAGAGGGTGCACCACCTGAATCGCCAGCTCCTGGACCGTCTGCCGGAGAATCTGCGTCGTCAGGATCGGCTGCAAAACCGGTAAGATGAATTTTGGCATCTTTAAAGCCAGTATTCCTTTTTTGTCAGGAGGAGAAGAAGGAAGAAGGTAAGAAAGAGAGTGCAGAGAAGAAAGAGGAAAAGAAGGAGGAACCCAAAGAGGAGAAGAAGGGAGAAGAAAAGAAAGAGGAGAAGAAGGAGGAAAAGAAGGAAGAGAAAGAGAGTGCAGAGAAGAAAGAGGAGAAGAAAGAAGGGGATAAGAAAAAGGAAAACGGAGAGGAATCAAAGGGTAGTTCTAAGAAGAAAGGGAAGGACAAGAAGAAGAAGAAAAGCTCGAAAAAGAAGAGCAAGAAGAAGTCCAAGAAAAGCAAAAAATGTAAGATCATACTACTTATATTAAGTAGCCAGTAGCTGCACGCACAATCTTGGGGCAGGTAAAAGAAAGCAGCGAAAACCTAAGCACATCGTACAGTAATCCGTCAAAAGATCATGCCTAGTCGACTATGCCCTCTTCCTATCGGCTTCGCTTCTTATTGGCCATCTACCGCATTAACAGTAGACTGGCCAATAAGAGGCGCTCCGCTGCCGAAATTATGATCTTTTGATCGTGCAAGGACTCGTAGAGAGGAAATGGCATCACTTGAACAGTGCTCGAAGCAAGAGGGGAGGGAGGGGGGGGGAGGGGAGAGGATGGTGCTAACGGTAGCCTCTGACAGCCCAAACCTTATTTGCTCCCATGTAAAAGCTAATTATTCCACAAAAATTTTTGAAGTCCCTCATCCAAAAATTGTTATTTTCCATTTCAGAATAAGAAGATGACAAAAAGAAGTAGTGCAGAGCTAACAGTATTATCTAAGGTGATGCAACACCTTTATTTGGTCTATGTTTTCGAATACAATCTAAAGGCATCTTCTGTAGATCTCTGCTTATTGTGTCATTTTTGTAAGAGAATAAATGTTCTTGAAAGTTATTCTACAGCTGAACAAAATTCTTTTCAGTTGATTTTCAAAGCTTGTCAAGAAGTGAGAGAAGACGGCATAGATCCTATTTTATTCTCATTCTATCATGTTGTATCTCTTGCTTGTTTGATAAAGCTGCTTGCTTCTGAGTCTTGACATTCTTGGTGAAGTCCTTGGAAAGTTGAGCACAGGCAGTTGTCATCAGATCACGACTGAATGATTGAGTAGTATCCCCAGTAGAAAACACTAAAAACAATCACCAGCTTTTTGATCCAAATTCCTAAAAATTGAAAAAAAGATAAAGTCCTACTTGAATGTCACAAAAAACACAGGAAAGACAGTTCTAGAATATTTGTCAATGACGTTGACGTCCCGTACTCGAATACTTGGCAGTGCTTTTCGTGCACGTTTTCCCATTTTATGTAACGAATGCGACATACTTGCAGCTCGCATTTTAGTCATCCTAATCCGCTTTCGGGTCCTGAAACGAGCGAAACGACATTGCTTCTTGTGAGAAAACTATCTGAAAGAACTAACCTAGCTGATAGCGATTTTCTTGGCTTCAGCCCTTGTATCGTTGTGTATCGAGGGTATTCTGGTGAGTCATCCACACCATCTGCTCCTGATGGACACAACGATTGTATAGGGCTTACAGGTCGTTTGCGTGTCGCTGCTATGGTTGACGTCTCTTTGGAGTTTAGGTCCTTAGTTCGTGGGTCCGCAGAAGATTGCTGGAGCTCCTAGATATCGAAAAAACATTTAGGTAATCAAAGATAGCTTCAATTCAAGATATCTAAATATAGGAGGTTCATTTCATAGATTATTTCGGAAGATTAAAAGAATGTGTGAGGGGAGAAATGAGGGTCAACCGATAACTTTAAGAAGTAGGCCTCCTCTTCAGCCACCCTTTTCGAGAAATCTTGTGGAGAAAACAAGGCGCAAATAAATTGTTAGGAACCTATGGAGTACTATCTAGTTGCTCTGGAGTTCAATGAAACAAGATTTCAAAATTGCTTTGAGCTTTCTAATTATCGACATGGATTGAAACTAGTATCCCTTCTCAGATTTTGGTGGTGTTGGGTGTCAGATCCTCTAAGTACTTTCTAACGCCAAGCTTCTAATTCATGTGCTATGTCCTGGGAATAGCTTGTCCCATCCAACAGCTCCGCCCACTTTCATTCAGTTGGTAACAATGATCCATTTTGCCAATCACTGTCTTAAAGCTGCTTTTTAAAGGCAGTGTCCGGGCAAAAAGTCGATTTTGAGATTTCATGCTTACCTGGCCTATTCGCTATGCTGAATCCGAAAATCTACACTGGAGAGCGCAAAAACGGCAAAAAAGGGCTCTAAAGCAGGAGGAAAATTAGCAGGTGGGCGGGGTCATCCCCACTGTGAACTTCGCAGTCAGGCTTCTGGAAAGATCTTCCCAATTCTTCTAGCGCCCTGAGATCTCCACCGGCCAGGTGCGAATGCATGACTTGAAAGCGGAACCGAGAAGATCGCTCTGGAAGCTGGGAGCGTGAATTTACAGTGGAGAGGACCCCGCCCACCTGCTGATTTCCCTCCTTTGTTATAACCCTTTTTCGCCGTTTTCGCGCTCTCCAGTGTGGATTTTCAGGTTCAGCATAGCGAATAGGCCCAGGTAATAACAAAATCTCAAATTCGACTTTTTGCCCGGACACTGCCTTTAAGATTATGTTCGTCCCAAACTTACCTCTTGAAGGCAGCGTCCAGTCAAGCCTGACATAGGGTTCGCAGTGGAGACTGATTTTGCTAGTAACTAAGATTTTGCTCAATCGGCAGCACAAATGCTCACTGACGGCTGCCCTCAAACCTAACTATGCTACCTACTGTATTTGCGGACGACTTGCATCGGGTTGCATACTGTTGTGGGAACCCACTCCTTTTGGGAATGGAGCCGTTCAAAACCCTTTAAGGAAACCCAAGTCATCAAATAATTCGGTACTAGGGACAGCCCCTTGGACGTGTTAGAGCGTTTACGGTGCAACTGTTGGCTCGATCATTCATACATACCTGGTATAACAATTGTTAGTAGAAAAGTTTAGCGAAGACTGAGCGGTAACAAATTTCGAGATGTTGCTTGACGGCTCATTTGAAATGCGAGGAATTTTCAAGAAATCCAATGATAAGTTTATAGTGAACAAATATCATCAAGTGCAAATAGTGAACTTACATCCATGAAGCTGCTTGGCACACCCCAGCTCTTCATATTGACAGCACTCTCTTGATCCTCTTTGTTTGTGCTATTCCCTGGCCATTCTTCACCTCCACCTTGTGCTCTTCTACCCCAGTACGAGTAATTGACGGCAGCATATTCAAGGAGAGCAGCAAATACAAAAACGAAGCACATTACCTAGAATTGAACTAATGATAAACGCAGAAAATGATCCTTCTCAAATTACTGTACTAACCAGATAAACATCTATGCTTTTGACGTAGCTAATTCGAGGAAGGGACTGACGCACACCAGTGGATATTGTCGTCATAGTGAGCACAGTCGTTATACCTAAGTTAGTGAAGTTGGAGCAGGTAAAAATAATGAAGGCGGTTTACTTACCCAAGGCGACACGGGCACTTGTGGCTTCATGGTTGATCCAGAAGGACACCCACGAAAGCATCACGATTAGCACACATGGCAGATATGTTTGAAATATGAAGTAGCCAACAGAGCGTTGAAGTTGAAAGACCAGTGACAGTCGTTGATAGGACCCTTAAAACGCTTTGTATGCGAAGTGATACCTGGTCTTTTCAAAAACGAAACACATTGCATACATCTTCATATGTGAATATCATCGCTCGCTGTATTCTTGCCCTACGTGCGACGGTAAATTGAGCAGAAGTGCAGAGAGTAATGATCTACTGTGTATACGGCATTGGCGAAAAATTGCGGCGACGGCGCGACAGTGCGCGACACGCACGCACCTCCCGGCAACCGCATTTTCTTGGTTTTTATCTCTACTCGCATGGCTTTTTTGCTTACATATGACAGTATTTAGACATTGGAAGTGACGCGGAGAGTTGGGGCGATGCCTTTTTGAATGAGTGTTTTTTGTGCAGTCAAATCCGTCGTCACGATCTTACGACCTATACCGCTCAAAAACAGATGTATTCTTTCAAACCCGCATCAAGCCAAGAATGGTCTTGTTTCACAATACTATACCTTTTGAAAAATGTAAATCTATAGTCAAGTATGTTTTACAAAAGTGCTTTGGCCAAACTGCTGATGTTCTCTTGATTTACTTGCTAGCATACAAAACCACGAACAGACAACGAAATTCTTGCTAACAAAAGGATTTGGAACAAACAGCAAAGACTTTTTGGGACATTCTAATGAATAGCATTCAAGTGACGAGGAAAAAAGTATAGCTTACTACTGATCAATAATAGGAGAAAATTTATTGAGACATATGATGAAAATATATACATTCCGATCCCGAAAGCTCGATTAGTGTTAGGTGAAGACTACATACAAGTGAAATGTGTTCAACGGAAGCAAACTTGAATGAACATTGCCGCGTTGGCAGATTCAGTGCTGGTAGATTCAATGAACTCGAGGAAAGTGAGGAACACTGCTATTCCCTTATTCTAGCTAGTGTCTGTTTGCTGCACTGTACTGGTTCATTCATTCGCTTTTCTTTTTTCTCTACTTTCCTTTTTAGGCCTCGGATAGAGTTCTCGCGATTTGATCGTCGCGATTCTACAAGACAACTGTTACGAGTTCATTGCATGCCGATCAGCTTGTATTTCGGTTGTGATACTTTTCCAGCTTGAAATTTTTGAATGTAGAAAATGAATGAGAATCGGATGAAATCGCGTGAACTCTGTCCGAGGCCTTACACTTCAACATCTAGATTCATTCTGATCGCCAAAAAAAGTGATTCGGTTTGTTTGAGTGTGCGACGTTTGAGCGCACGTGCTGGGAATACCATAATTCGGCAGAGCTCTACATATCCCAACGTACGAGGTGGTTGGAAGGAGACTTGACGGTATACGTCGAAAACCTGGCTATTGCTTGCAGACTAAGAACGCAAGAACCACTAACAATCTAACTATTACTATATAGCAATCACGGCAACATGTGAATTTTGCCAAATTTGGTAGGAGGATTGAAGGAGGATCAAGGTCGATCTGCGACTCGATACGGTACAAGGCCAAGCCTGCATTAGCAAGAAATACGACCAACTCGTGGAAGCAAAGAAGAAGAAGAAGAATAAGAAGAATAAGAAATGTCCACAAGTTTTGAGCAGCCAGGCAACAGTACGGTAAAGAACCTGCCTGAAGACTATCATTGAACAAATTGCATGTGCTCCTAATGTCCAAATGCAGAAGAAAGCGATTGACTGCTTTCTTGTAACGGCTAAAATTGAGTAACAAACCTGTCGCGGTTCTAACTACACGATCCTCCGTCTGGAAGCCAGTAATGGTGAACTGTGGAACGTCTGCCTGCTCGACACCATGCACTGCTTGCGGATGATTCCATTTCATTAAGACCTCAGAAGTGGTGTAACCGTCTAAACAATTTGAATCTCACACAGCCAACTGAATACACTTGGAATCGTACAGGATTCTATTTCAACAGTGCAGTTCTGCGAATCCAGCGGAAAGTTTCGCAAATTCATCGAACAACTCAGCGTTGATGTAAGTCTGAAAAAAACTTCTATTATTGTAATTTGGGGCTACTTCATCCTAACTCTACGATGGAAAAAATTTAGAAAATGAGATGAGAATGTTTCACTATTTTTTGAAGGTTTTTTCAAAAGATATTCTAGGCCCTCTCTCCTTACTGAAGAGTCCCGGAGAGGACCTGGGCTTGCAACCTCGTCTAAGGAAGGACGAAACGGAGAATATCTACAAATCTATTTTTTCTCTATTCTTATCCGTAAGAGGAAGATAAATAAGATATATACATATATATGATTAATTACTTTCCTCCGTAAATTAATTTGACAAGCTGTCCTTAACCCGGAGAGGGTCCAACGCTCAAGACCCCGTCAAAGAGAAGGGACGAAACGGCGAAAGGAATATAATGAGATAATGATGAATACAGAACCGTACATAAGATCTGCGGCGGCTTAAAGAACTGACCATATTTGTGCGGCGACTAAGGTAAATGTTCACCAAAACTATATGATTTGAAAGAAAGATCTCCGAGCTGAATGAGAGAAGTTTAGAGAGGTATACCTGGAAAAGGTAAAAGTGTAGAGAGCTTTGTTAGAAAAACCGAGGGATGAGTCGAAGCAGGATCTGATTCTGATAGTGGTACCAACAATCTTCGATACGCTTAACATCACTGTGGTCCAATTTTCGAAACGTTGGCAGTTTATCAGAATGCGCAGCAACAAGGAGAATTATTCGGCCAATACAACCTCTTTCTATAATGTGAAGAGTTGGCGTCTGTTTGATGTCTTGGAATTTCTCGCTTGAAAAAACCATTCAAATTAAAAGGCATAAACCTGAGAACTGTGGATTTGAGAGGCTATTATTAAATCATTTACGCTATAACCAAGAAAACTGATCAGAGGTGAGATTCGTAAGACAGCTCACGCGTTTCGGCTACAGTGCCTTAATAGGCTTCTCCCTACCGCTATCCTCTGGATAGCGAAACGCCAGTGACTGTTTCTCTCGCGCTAATTCTAATAAAAATTTTGCAGGTCTGAAGAAGACACTGCAGCCAAAACATGTAAGTTGCCCCTCTATAATTTTTACCATCTTACGTGGGTTAGCTAATTAATTTAATAAGAGCATTTCAAACATGCCAAGTTCATTGAATGATTGGATTGAGACATTTACTGCAGAGGATTAATTCTAGGCAAACTGCTGCTTGACAGAAGAATCTAAATACTATCGAACAACCACAGAGAGTAAACTTCACTTGTTTGGACTCATGCATAAATACGCCAGTAGCATCTCCACAATGTTTATCTCGCAGCAGCTGCATATGGAGACTGATTTGTAATTCTTTCCACCGTCTTTATAAATTTAACCGTTTTTTGGAATGGAAGACAAACAAAATTGATATTGTATGTGTTTTACACATGCTATCATCAATGATCGAAGCCACTGGACCACCGTTACCATCGCAGGAGGGAGTATCAACATCTCCTCAAGTTTGAAGAAGATTCCGTTTGTTGCAGATGAAACGTTGAGGAGTTGTTCAAGATATTCACTAGAAGCTTTTGCCGACTTTTATTTTCAGTACTAAATTATGCTGGCAGGTAGACTTAATCGCAATTAAGGTTAGCAAAATAGAAAAAGTTTCCCTATTGCTTATGCGTTGAGTATACCCAAATTGAGCTTCTTATTGCCATAATCTGTCGTACAGTCCGAAAATTTCTTCATCAGATTCTCTTCTTTTTTGGTCTTAAAAGGCCGTCAGTTCGTTGCTAAATGCGGTCATGGGAAAGTACTAATTGTTACTCAAACGAACTGCGAATTTTCAACAAGGATCATCATTAACGCATTGTTTAAGCATGGGGAAGACATCGTTTAATTAAGTTGGCGCAATTTGGCACATCGGCACGGACGGTAAATTATTGATGTTGCAAAGCTGAAGAGGAAGAGTTGAAATACACTAGGAGATGCAAAAGAAGCGTGCGATGGTAGTGACTAATAGAAGTTGAAGCTCTCCCCGTGTAACAATTTCCAAGAATCACGGCGCCAAAAGTTTGTTTGGGTCCAGCACATGGTCCGAATGAGGCCGGGGACGTCGGCTAGTACAAAGATAAATTCGAAAAAAACGTGCTCATTTTTTCGCCTCTTGTGGGATTGAAGGTAGCGCATAAATAGACAACCTTCAGCTTATATTAACAATGTAAAAAGTATCCTAATGAGCTCTCCATTTCTTACGATGGTAAAAGCATTCGAAGAGGAGTCCTACGCTACTGCTGAACATCTTCGCAAAAGAGACTACAAGAGGGCTGAGATTAAGAAATTTACTAATAACAACTCCGACATCCCTGCATTGAAATATGCAGAGGTTAACATTTCTTAATTTCAGACGATCGAGTTATTGGGAGTCTCCAATTTCAGGCAATACCCCGTTCGATGTTTGGGGTCAGGTACATGTATTCTGCGTTTTTAGTCTTCAATCGTGTACACAAAAATGCGGCCAAACTAAGTGAAACACAGTTTTAAAGGTTTTTCGAGCATTGCAGTTAATTTAGCGTAGCTTTACTGTGCTAGAAGTTTCTATCTTCCTCGTAGCAACAGGTACGAGTCCACTACGCAAAAAAGAAGTTGCTGTAAAGACTACGTCATTGGGTGCAAAATAACATGGTAGCCAGATTCCGGCTCGGAAAGCATTGAAGGCGTCCTTCACTTGTAGAAATCAGTAACTATCTATCAACTATCATATAACATATCTTTATTTTGTAAGATGTATATTATCTGTCATAAAGCTATCTTTACTATGTAGACTGCTTTTCCATGTCATCGGTGCCGATGGAGAGTAAAACATCAATGATATACTGATGAATGTTCCATTACTGCCAGTATGCTCATTGAGCATAATGGTTAACGCAAAATCTTTTCTCAGGCTTTTAAAAAAGACTCCAAAACGCTTGGCCGAATAAATCACTTGAGATAGCAAACTTCTGGGACACGGTTGTCAAGAGGTTAGTGTGTTAGAACGAGCTCTAAATCTTTGAGATGTGATTAAGGACAAACGATTAACTACAAGTCAAGTATTCTTGAGATTATTGGTCCCATTTCGTCGCTTTCTTATTTTCTTCAGATATTCTTTTCCAATCTCAACTTTCCATTGAAATTCTCGTCCGAGCTGCCTTTTGGATATCAGGTAAACGCCCCGAACAAGGTCTTCTCACCCGTTTCAAAGCTCAAATTTGGAATCTACGGGTCGAAAAGGCCCAAAACATGCAAAAAGGTGGAAATGCAAAATCTGCCGGGACGCTGCCTTTAGGATCAGGGCTCGGCACGAGCTGGCACTAGGGTAATTTCAAATGGAGTCCCTTTTGGTCTTGAAAATTTTGCACGAATCCCCTTTGACCTGTTTTGTATTTGCCTAGGGCACCCTTTGTGATTGGAGCAGATTTTTCGACTGCTGAACAGACCGAGAGAATTTCAGATGCTATAAAACGCCAAAACAAAACATTATAAAATTTTTCTTTGCATGTAAACTTTTACAATGTAGATACAATTTATGTAAAAAAAGTATGAAAACTTATGTGAGCAAAGGGTCGGTGCCAGCTAATTCAGGAAAAAGTTCAGCACAGCTTTCATTCACAAAAGTTTTCATAAATTTTCCGGTCCATAGTTCGGGTCCCCCAACGCACACACCAAATTTGGTGTCATATGATTGCGTTTTTTGCGTTTTGTTTGTAAACAAGGCTTTTGTTTGTTTGGGGTAGAATCCACAGAACCCGTAAAAACGATATCGTCATTGCTTTCCGCTCCAAAAACGATATCCAGCTTGACCCAGTGCCAGCTGTGCCGAGCCCTGCTCAAGATATACAACGATGTTTGAGCTCACCTCATTCCATAGGCGATTTTGCCATCACTGCTGACTCGAAGCATCTTGTTTCGTTCAGTGACTTCGTGAAGGAAGGAATGCTTGTCATTGGCCAAAAATGTGTCAGGAACCCAAATATTTCTGGAATTATGTGCATAATTAATTTGAATTTAGTAACCGCTACGGGACAACTGTAAATTTATCTCATCCAAATGTATCTACAAACAAGAACAGTGGCAGAGGAAGAACCTTTGGAGTGCGGGAGAAAGGCAGACCATTGAATGAAAAATGGGCTGTTATCTTAGTGATTGGCACGGATAAAAAGTTGAGTAATTGCATGATTTTTCGAGTAAAATGACGAACTTACTGTGAGAACTCCCCGCTTAATGTCATTTCGTCTATTGGTACGGTGCTGCTCCACGAAAGTCGTTCATCAGTCCAATACTGGTGTAGATACATAGTAATAGTGTAATCCATGTTTACTTCTGATATGGAGTCAAACGAGGCAATGATGATGTCCATTGTGAGAAGGAGTGCATCGCCTAAGAATTTGCGAGTTTTGTTATAAAATTGCTAAAAATTCGTGAAATGTGTAATATGTGTAAAAACAACTTTTATGTACGATTGACTTTTGGCCAAAATCTAAGCTAGAATATTTTGCCTTTTGTGGCTATTTGAGTTCTGTAGGTTTCAACGACATTGCCATATGCGAGTTCTTAGCTAATGTGCCAGAAATCTGCTTTGAAAAGAAACTTAATGAATAAATATACCCCTAGCAATAAGATTAAGGTGTCATGCTGTATTTTCATCCGGACAAAATCAACTTTTTATTGCCCTTTTAGCTCTGTTTTACATATGGGCTATAACCTAGGCTGCATGTTCTGGCCCAGTATCAGAGGCACTGTCCACCCAAAATGAGGTCGATGAGTTTTGATGCCTAACAGTAGCGGGCCCCGAGTGCATATTTGCCCTCGCGCTGCCAAAAGTTGTTCCGAAGCGAAAAATTTGCTTCGAAATTTGCTTCGGATGGCAACTACGCCACATTGGCTCCTCCCCTCTGAAGGAGGCTGATGTTTGCCACGCCCATCCGTGCGCAGTTCCGAAGAACTCGCACTGGCCTTCGGAACGGGAATTGTCGGGGTTTTCGCGGATTCTCGACTTGATATTCGGAACAGAGAAGGTCCCGGAGCGACAAACACATGAAAGTCGAGAATCTGGTTGGAAGGTGCCTTTAAGCCGCACATGGCTCTGTAAGGTCAAATTCGCACTTTGGAACCACTATTTCTTTGCAATGTAACGGCTTATAATGGCTTATGGCATGGTCTGCAGAAGCGTTTAGCAGATAAGGAAGACAGATATAAATCAGCGCTATATGCTGCATTCTATGGTATGCGGGTTTGACTGGGGACTTTGAGTTCTGACCGTTCCCTAGTAACTCAAGAAATGCAAGCTTTAGCTCCAACTGAAGGCTCTATTGTTTTCGCATTCGTGGCTTTGATTTGTTTCACCCATAAATCTTATTCGTCACTTCAACTCAGCATTCTGCCTCGTTGTAGAATTTATTACATCTTTTTCCCACTGCGAAATTCACATAAAGAAGTGCTATTGAAGTAAAGATGATCCCAGATATATAGAATAGCAGCTTTTTTCTGCATGATTATGTTGCTTTAGCACCATCTTTCAAAAAACGCTGAAACTCTAAGACAGGAGTTCAGAAACATTCCTCGAACAAGTGAAAGACAGTCGCAAACGCAGGGTAAGCACGTAACTCATAGTTACCCATAAGGAAGATTTATGTAGAGATCTATGGAAAGAACTACGTTATACTTTTACTGCTGACGACATGGGCACCCCCAGCATAGTCTAGTAATGTACAGTCTGCTCTTTGTATGCTGCTAGGAAACAAGACTTATGCTGTTTGTCAGATTCTGCCATTAAATTTAGGGCCAGATTCTACCGTTCAATTAAGGGCATGTTGCTTTATTTATAATATCGGTCCATAACTGATGCACGTTTTTAGAATACGATTCTAAACGTTGCATTCCTTTTCCTAGAATCATCTTTTCGAACGCAATGAGAACTGCTGCAAAGGGCAAACAGTTGGCTCGATAATATTAGGTTATAAAGGAAGTTCTGCCAATTCTTCTCGTAAATACCAAAAATGAATGCGAATGCTGGTTAGGGCTGGTTTAAATGGTGTTCTTAGTGTGCGATGGCCCTAGCTACTTGACACGCTATTCAGCTCGAAAAAATGACGATCAACTAGGAAGAAATGCCCGAAAAAGGAGAAAAATCCGTTGCGCTCAGGCCTTGGAAAAGGGACATTATTCAGATTATGGACACGCAGAACTTCCAGAAGCTTGATTTGAAAATCGTTTTATATCCTGTGTGTTGGCTAAGTGAAGCAATATCCGACTATTACTTGCCCCGGTATCCGGGCCTTTTTGCAAGCAAGATATAACAACTCATTGAAATCCGGGTTCAAAAAATCGAACTCTCCACATGTTTTGAAACGCAGCCAGCGCGCTTTTAGAAAAAGAGCATCTATGACATACCTAGTAGTCTAAGGTTGTCAGTACACATGACGAAAATATCGCTAAATGACAGCCACTCAGATGAAGATATGAATGAAACAATTTAGCTCAGCGTCTATTGGCAGAACTTTCTTTACAACCTTTTATATCTTTTTATGTTTGTAGCCCATTTTCTGAGATTAGGTTGGCTATTCGCAGAGCAAAGAGAGTGGAAGGAAAAAAATTATCAATTTCCGTTTTCATTGTCAAAAGCTGGCAACTTAGGAATGAACGAAGCTCTACAAACTAAAGCATTTAAAGGAAGAAGAAGAAGCGCTCTTTCGAATGACAAAAACAACTCCATGAAGTTCATAATCCTGAAGAAACGTCTGAAGGAAGGAATAACGAAAACGTGCATGCATCAACCACTGATGAACCTGGAATTCGTCTGAAATGGCTGTCGATCAACGATAATTTTGGTTATATGTACTGATAACCGGATGGCAGAACATTTCAAACATTAGGTCGTTTCATAAATTTGTAGAGTTTTCATCTCGTCCTCATTTCTCCGAGGAGCGTTTGGTTTGCGGCAAAATGCGCATATAGTCGAGAAGAGCTGAGCATACTTTTTCAAATGAAGTTATTGCATTCAAAGAAAAAAAAGCTGACCTTCTTCAACTTCTTTTTCCAAAGATAGAAATTTTGAGAGCCAAAAAAGCATTTTCGACAACTGTGCAGTTACTCGCACGAAAGAATTTTTTGCGTAGATTTTTTTTGCCTGTCATGGAAAATAGCATTTGCACATCAATATGAGATAAAAATGGATTAAGTTGCTCCAAACTAGCGAGAGTTAAAGAGGGTGTCCCTAGACATGACTTTTAAAGGGACGGGCAGGAAGTCCTGCACTGAAATGTTGGACAACAACAAAACGGTGAACATCATACTCTGCCCAACTCAACCGTATCGTCTGAATGGAGCCGTAGTGCAGAAAAGACTCAAAATACAGTCCAGCTAGTTTTCCGACAAAATATGGATTTTATTGCAAACGTCGCCATATGTCCTGCGAGACTTCACCGGAAGGTATTAGGTTGTTCCACAAGTCTTTTCATTTTTGAGTTTCCACTATAATAGGTCACACAATTCATATTTTGAATAGACATCAGGATACCATTCGATAGATTTTATGCTTTTGCACAAGCTTTGGCCCACCTCAAGTTTGAAACCAAAATCTAAAGAGTTTCGGACCAAAAAATTAAATTTTTTTAATATCTTCGTTCAAAAAAGTGCTGCAGACTTCTTACTCGCTCACGCATATACATTCCACATCGGACATTCATATGTGCTGTCGTTGTATTTTTTTATCAGCTAGAATTCAAGAAACCGAAAATTTCCATGTTTTTATCAAAGTGATGCTGTGCTGTTCTTATACTAACAGTCGTATACTACGAGCCCTCAAAAGTACAATTGTAAATTTTCAGCGTTCTATAAGCTCTAGTTCCTGAGAAATATCGAAATTAGCTTTCCTCACTCAGGTTTTTCACGCTTAACTCATCATTTCTCGGAAACCAGAGCTTATAGAGCGCTAAAAAAATCTACGGTTGTACTTCCAGATGCTTGTAGTATACAACTGCCAGTGTAAAAACAGCACAGCATCACTTTGATAAAAACATGGAAATTTTCGGTTTCTTGAATTCTAGCTGATAAAAAAATACAACGACAGCACATATGAATGTCCGATGTGGAATGTATACGCGTGAGCGAGTGTGAGATCTGTAGGACTTTTTGAATGAAGATATAAAAAATTTTCAATTTTCTGGGCATCCGAAACTCTTTAGATTTTGGTTTCAAAATTGCGGTGGACCAAAGCTTGTGCAAAAGCATGGACGCCATCTTGTAGAGGTTGCTTTACTCTATCGAACGGTATCCTGATGTCTATTCAAAAGAAGAAGTGTGTGACTTATTATAGCCGAAACTCAAAAATGAAAAGACTTGTGGGACAACCTAATATATTGGCATCTAGTGTGTTATGTTATCTCGCTCTAGAAGATCAATTTGCCATGGACCATCGCAAATCAAACAACGGCGTTTACTTCATTCTGAAGACGATCTCGAGCGCTGGTTAGACTACCTTTCTGGGACCAGACCTGAGTTTTTGCAAATCTCAATTGTAAGTGTGACGCTAAGGTGGCGGACGGTTGTGCGCACTAGGAACATATTAATGACTGGTTTTGAAAGAATTCTGTCATTTCGTTAGTTTATGAGATTCTGCGAACTTATGAAATGACCTCATATCTATGGAAACTGGACATCAATCCTCCGTTTTCGTAATGAACGGAAGAAAAATAATAAAACTCACTTATCATACAATAAAGCTTTTAAATAAGTATGGTGAAAATGAATCATATTGCAGAGCGATGAAAATAGAAGAGATATTTCTAATTGGGCTCATTTAGCAAAAAACCCCAAGGTCTACATTCAAACCCTCTTTACCGTCCTTCAAGTTGCGTTCTTCTCAAACGTCAAAGTTCCAACTCGCTTGTTCCATTTTTCAAGTCTGCGGATATTTTTGGGAGTGTTCGCTGTCCATAGTAGTTGAAGGCGCAGCGGTGATGACATCTCGTTTCATAAAGCGTTCCCCAAGGGGACCAGCGAAATCGATGGCTTTGAAAAACTGAGAGATGAGGAAATTACAAGTCTGCTGGATTGCAAGAAGTCTGTTACTCTGAAAACTCGAGACGAGAAGGTGAGAGTGGGGGGAGGGGGGGGGGGGAATAATGAAGTTTTTTTATATTGAGACAACATGATATGAAAGAGACGACAGTTGCTCTTCTTCTTTGATTTTCTCCAAATCGCTTCCTTTTTTTTGATTATGGTGTTATTATCCAAGAAACTCAAGCGTCTGATCTGATTCACCCCCAAAACGTCCCGGCTTAGTCTCCTCCGACTCTCCGAAAAGCCGACGAAGCATGTAATGAAGAGTGAATCACTTCGAAGAAGAGAGTGAATCGAATCACGGACCCTCCATGTTAGTAAAATGGTCG